ACCTCAGAGTTAGTCTCTCTATAGCAGTGCGAAAGGCTCAAAAGAGCGGATAAGTAAGAGATGGTGGATTTCATCAAATAGAGCCCTTCATCTCCAAGGGGGCTTTACCTCACATCTTGCCCATGTGATAACATTCGAAGAATCCCCTTCGATCATCTCATTTCATTCCATTTCAATTAGCAGCCTTTAAGAATCCCCTTCGATCATCTCATTTCATTCCATTTCAATTAGCAGCCTTTAAGAATCCCCTTCGATCATCTCATTTCATTCCATTTTAATTAGCAGCCTTAGACCCTCCAATAAACCTTTGTGTTACCACAGGGGCTGAAGAAATCTTTATTACTCACCCATTATGGTCTTTGGATAATCCCTCCAAAGCCAGCTAGTCCTGGATTGCCAATGGAGCTTCGATCAAAATTAAGTTTAAAACATTCCAAACGGTAGTGGTGTCCATATTGCATGGACCCTATTGAATTACTTTCTTAACTTTACCACCTCTAAATGATTTTGAATTGCTTGGCTCTTGGGTATACAGCTTGCAAATATATTTGAGAATCTTTATGCACCGAAAACCAGTCCACCACCATCTATTGGGTGGTAGGGTCAAGACCGGGCCTTGCTGCATTAAGCCAAGTGCAACTTGTTTGAAGTGGCTTTGGCTTGTTCACCCAAAAAGCAGAAATGGCTCGGGCTTTGGGTAGCCATTTTCAGGTCCTATCGACCTTTGACTTGTTTGGGCCCGGCCTGCTTGCACATTTAATTACATCTAGGTTTTTAAGGGTTATGAACCGTTTCTTGGTATGCACCAAAAGGTTCGGATGATCTACTAGATTCCTCCCTTTATCCAGCAATTTTAGGCTGAGGTATGTTTGGTTACTGGATGCTAGGGATTCCTTAGAACTTGGAAGTTCTAGCTCTTTGGAAGCTGGAATCTAGAACTATTGATATATAGAAGTTCTGAAAAACTTGTTTGACAATTTGTTTGGAAGTTTTAATACTATAGATCAAGCTTCACATTGATCTTATAAAGTTTCACAGATATTAGGCTTCAAGAACTCACATACATAGAGAGAGACATAAATATGACAAATCAAGAGAAAATACACAATTAGAGAGTCATGGCTTAGAGAAATAAAAAAGACATGGTTAGAGGGGATAAGGAGTTAAAAGGGAGAAATGATTCATTCCAAAAGATAATTGAGTTCGAGAGAAATGAAATGACTAGAGTGAGAGGATTTAGAGAGAGAGAAAAAAGGGCACGATTAAAGAGAGAGGAGAATCGTTGAGAGAAAAGGGTGCTATTAGATAGAGGAGTTAGAGAGAGATAATGTGTGGCTAGATAAAGTGGATTTAGGGGACAAAGGGCCCGACTCGAAGAGAAATGTCGTAGTTAAGAGTAAGAGAGAAAACACAATTGAGAAAGGAGTGAGGGAGAGAAACGACACATTTAGAGATAGAGATGCATTACGCGATAAAGGGTAGCATTAGAGAGAGTCAAAGAATGACATGGTTAGAGACAGGATTTAGAGAAAGAAAATCCGTGATTAAGAGAGTAAAAAGCTAGAAAGAGCAAGGGAAAGTGAGAAAGGACACAAAGCAAAAAAAAAAAGGTTAGAGATGAAATGGGCCGGGTTAGGTCCATGTCAAGCCCAATCCGGACCTGACCCAACTAGGTCTAGGTAAACCTGGACTCAAGTTAGGTCCAGGTCAATTGGATAGGAACGCTACCCACCTTGTCAGGTCATGTCTGGTAATAAGATTACTATTTTATCTATTTAATATTATATAGTTAATATTAAGATACTAAATTACTAATATATACTGGGAAGGGTCGGGTCAGTTTGGCCTTGACCTGGACCTCACCTCACTTGACCTAAAGTGGATCCAGACCTTGACCCTGGTCCAAAGTCACGTGGACCCAATCCCAACCTGTTGGATCTAATGTCCGGGTCCAGACCAGGACTCAGATAGGTCAACCCATTGGGTCGACTAAACCCATTTTCCACCCCCAATAGAAGTGCCATTGCAAAATGGAAATCCTAGCTTATGAGGGTGAAAGTTCCAACCATCGAAACATGGTCTAGGAGTCATTTTGTGCGAGATTTAGAAAATGGTTGTTAGTGGTTATAATGGTCGTTATAAAGGAAATGTTCTCTACCTATATTTCATAAAGAAAAGGAAAAGTCTAAAATAAAACTATTTACCTTTATTGTAAGGATACCACAGTCAACTTTAGTCCTTTGACGTGAAATTGGAGGGCTTGGGGTGTCCTCAGATTTCAAAGAAGTCAACTTTAGTCCTTTGACGTGAAATTGGAGGGCTTGGGGTGTCCTCAGATTTCAAAGAAGCCTTGTTGCAAAACCAGTTGGGTTGAACTAGATCCTGCCAGTTTACCCAGACTTGCCTTCTAGGCGAGCTGGGTTTTTGGTTGGTTATAGGGGTCTACCTGCCAAAGGTTGGACCCCCCAACCTAAGCAATCCAAGTAGATCTTCTACTCGGGCAAGTCTTTCTACTACCTGACTAGGTTTTCTTTAACCTGACTGAGTGATCTTTAAACTGGCAGTTACCAGGCTACCTGTCTGTCTCTTACTCTCTCTCTCTCTCATGGGGATAACAGGGCTCCTGCCCTTCTCTCTACCTCTCTTTCTCTTGGCAACAAGGCCCCTACC